AAAAAAGGGTCGTCTATTATATGTAAAGATAATGGTTTGTTTAAAAAATGATCGTTTATTATGAAGTAAAGATGACAGTTGTTTTAAAAAAAAGGTCGTCTATTATGAAGTAAAGATGACGTTTTTTTAAAAAAAAGGGTCGTCTATTAAATGTAAAGATGATGGTTTGTTTAAAAAACGGTCGTCTATTATGAAGTAAAGATGATGGTTTTATTTTAAAAAGGGTCGTCTATTATATGTAAAGATGATGATTTGTTTAAAAAAAAGTCGTCTATTATGAAGTACAGATGACGTTTTTTTTTTTTAAAAGGGTCGTCTATTAAATGTAAAGATGATGACTGTTTTAAAAAAAAATGTCGTCTATTATGAAGTAAATATGACGGTTTTTTTATTTAAAAAAAGGTCGTCTATTATATGTAAAGATAATGGTTTGTTTAAAAAATGGTCATCTATTATGAAGTAAAGATGACGGTTGTTTTAAAAAAAAGGGTCGTCTATTATAAAGTAAATATGACGGTTTTTTTTTATAAAAAAGGTCGTCTATTTTATGTAAAGATGACGGTTTTTTTTTTTAAATGTCGTCTATTATATGTAAGGATGACTATCTTTTTTTTAAAAGCATCGTATTTTAAAACATGCTAAGAAATGGCCGCTTAAGTGAATTCGCGCTCGACAATTTTTCAAATTTTCACCCGTCTTTGAAAACCTTATCTCTCATTAACAAGCGTCATCTTTTAAAACACGCTAAAAAAAGGCTACTTAAGTGAATTCGCACTCCACAAATTTTCAGATTTTCCCCCGTCTCTGAAAACCTTATCTCTCCCTCCTTAAAACCCTCATGCACTCTCTAAAACACCCTCATGAAACTCTCTACAAAATCATCAAAAAATTGATATCAATGAAGGAGTTGAGAGATTGAGGTCTTCGCGGATCCATAAGATGTAGAGGGAGGTTCTGTATTTGAGAATCAAAGCTAGTTGAAAGGTTTGATTTGAAAGTCACCTAATCTCTCAATACCCTTCTATATCTTGCTAGTGAATTCTGGATTAGTCTCTTTGCGTTTTTGGTATGTTCTTTGTCTCCCTAATTTCAGATTTTTGTCTCTCTTGATTTGTCTGGTTTGTTTATATATATATATATTTTTTTATTTCTAATTTCTTTTTAGATTTTCTGATTTGATTATCAGGAGATGAGGACGAAGCTTGCAGATTTATAACTTTTTCTTTTGCAGGTTTTCTATGTGAGTCGTATCTCAAAATTTGTTACCTTCTCTTTTCACCATCATTTTATTTATATATTTTTCCTTTTGTAGGTTCTCGATGGTCTTTTTTATGCTCATTTTACAAGTTTTCTATGGAAATATGGACCAATGATAAAATTTCTCTTCCACCTAATTTTTTATGTTTATAGTCTTAGCTTTTTTTCTCTCTTTGTCATTTTGATTTACTTACAGGGATGATGGAGGAGACTTCAATTGTGCATCATTTGTATGTTTGGATGAGGAATGCTTAGATTAGGAGTACGTAGGTCTTGTTAGGAATCATGTTTGTTGTAGAATAAAGATTGGTTAACTATGTAATAACTATTGAATCTTCAAGTTTTATGAAAGAAACTATTTTTGAGTGTATATATTCATTAATAAAGCATTATGATTGGTTTTCTAGTTAAAATCGTTGTATAGCATCATAGGAAATCAAAAAGAACTAAAATTTGGTTCTACTGTAACTAGGTGTTCTGTTTTCGGCTGATAATTTGGGCGTCCAAATGTGCCTAACAAAGCCATGGCTTTATTTCTCTACGTCCATGTGTTAGTGAGAATCCACGATTTCTATTTTTGTCTTTCTGGAAGACGAAGGTGACGAAGGAAAAATAAAGCAAACAAATCACCCTTTGGGATACTTTTGGGTTGTTTCTGACCGGAATTGGGTGTTGGTTTACACTATCACTATTAGTTTCTTCTTTCTTTATGTTAATTTTTTGTTAAGTGTCCAGGTCATTCTAGATCCAGATTGAGTTTCATATTGATGTAAAGTGTCCAGTTCAGGCATCAACTTCTATTTTTTATGTTACGAATAAGATTATGCTTTGATTTTTTCTTCTTCTTTTTTTCTCAAGGGATTAATTTTTATACAGGAATTAAAAGAAAAATGAGGAACAGAGTTGGAGGGAGTTCAAGAACATGAAAGCAAAACAAAAGGGAAGCATCATGGTGAGTCAACATAAGCACCGATCATGACTTCTTCGAGCAGTGAACCAAAGTCGCTCTTCTTCGTGGACAAGTCCAAAGGTACCTTATTCATACCTTTGTTTTTTTGTTTTTTGTTTTGAGTGACATAATTGTCTTTTTTCGCTTTCAGTAATTCAATTGCTTCTGTATATCGAATCCCAATTTCAGTTCAGCTGCTGGTATTAGGTTTTTTGAGTTTAGATAAGGTCGCTTTGTGCAATCCCTCTAATTTTACATTTGTATTGTTATGAATTTCTGATTTTAGTTTTGGAATAGATTTATTTATTTATTACCATTTATTGTTTCGTATGAAAGGGTCTTATGCCAATGTACAAGTTTATAACAATACGTTTCGAAGTTTTTGAAGTTCACATTCCATCAGCAGCTAATGCAGATGGGGTTGTGGATTCCCAATGCCTGTAATCATTGGGAATGTTTTGTTTATGGCATTTTTTAATGGGTTTCATTTTTCGTTTGGTAGAATGCATTTTATTGTGGTTTCAGTGTTTAGGGTGATAGAGTGGTGGAGATGCAGATGGAGGTGTGGGTATTTTGGCTATGCTAAAACCTAAATTTACTTTTAAACAATTGTGTGGCTGTGTGTTCGCTTTAGGTGAACGTGTCGTGATGCAAAAGAAACTATGTTTCTAGCTTTAAATTCTGTGTTTCTATGTACTAATTGGGCGATTTCTCAATGTTTCTATTAGGTTATTTCATATGGATGCTAGAAGGGACATAATTTGCTGTGGTGGCAATTACTCTGTGGCTTTGAATAAACCAAACACTTGAAGGGCTAATCTGTTTTAGTATTTGAAGGGCGTGGTGAAGCTGATAATAACACACCATAGTGACACGCTGCGATGGACTTATTCCGAAACGTAATTCTATTGTTTTGATGGATTGTTTTAGTATTCTTAATATCTTGCTTCATATTAAGCTTTTTAGTTGTTTTTGTCTTCTTTTGTTTTGTTTTTGTTTTGTTTTTGTAAATGCAGATCCAATTTGCTGCATGAGGCTACCAAAGAATATAGTAGCAGGAGAGCATAAAATTGCTGGAGGAGGAGGTTTATGTACAAGCAGTAGCTAAAAGGATTTTAATTGTCATGAATTTTTTGTTTGTTCTTTTCCTTTTTCAATGGTTGCAATACTAGCTTCAATTACTATGTTTTGGTGTAACGAGTTTTGTTTTAAATAAAAACTTATTCAATTACATCTATTCCAAATTCGGTTCAATGGTTAACTATGATAATTGTTATCAATAAATACAAAGAGGAATTTAAATTAGTTCTTGCCTTTGTTTTAAATTCTTTTCAATATGATCAACTATGATAATAGTTTATTTTTATAAAGGTTATCAATGAATACAATACACACATATGTTACCAAATTATTGAAAAAAAGAACTTTCAAGGACAATTCAAACTAAAATTAAAAAACAGGAAAAAGCGTTTTACCCAAGCTGATAAAAGGTATTTCAAACTATGGGGAAAAACAAGGAAAATTTTCAATTCCACCAAACAGAAAATTCAAAAAAAAAAACACGAAGAATCCCCCTAGCTCCTAAAGCTCATTAGACTAGCCTCTTTGCACACGCTTTTGTGTGTGTGAGAGGCTTTCTTTTAATCACGCGCGCTACGCGCGACTTACAAAGCTTCGTGAATATTTTTTCACAATTGTATTTATATAGATGTCCGTTTCAACAGTTTCATATTTTAATCGTGCATGTGCGATAAATCGTCGTATTAAAAAATTTCCTTTATCGCCCGTATTTTTCTAAACATCAATTTTAGCAGTTTCTTTTTTTCTTTTATAGCGTGTGTGAACTGCTAAGATGGACATCTAGAAAAATACGGGCGATAAAATTTTTAAGACGACGATTTATCACACGCGCACGATTAAAATATGAAACTGTTGAAACGGAAATCTATATAAATACAATTGCGAAAAAATATTTACGAAACTTTGTAAGTCGCACGTAGCCCGCGTGATTAAAAGAATACAAATTTATAAATAAACCCAATCCTAGACATGTATTTATAAAAAAAAACCCAAGCACTATTTAAACATAGAAACACACCCAAAATCAACCCCAAAGTCAACTTTTTGGGTGTGTTTATAAATGGGTTTTGAGTGTGTGTAATGATGGGTTTTGAGTATGTTTATATGTTTAAATAGTATTTGGGTTTTTTTATAATTTCAACCCCCATTTTGGGTGTTTTAGTGAAACTCCCTTAAAAGAAAGCCTCTTGCACAAGCAGAAGCGTGTGCAAAGAGGCTAGTCTATATATATAGAGAATGATGAAACATTCAAAAAATCCGAAAATACCCTTGGTGAACTAAACTTTTAAAATGCACCGATTTTAATTAAAACAGGGTATAATTGTAAGAGAAGAATTACGCAGATTTAAAAAAAAATTAAAAAGGTACAGACCCCACTTCATAGCAGTTGCTCTTCTTATCAGTTTCTTCTGGCACGTTCTATTGAAATAGGATGAAAGCAAAACTGAAACCGTCCAAAACCCACCATGGCCCTCAAACTTGGAAACGCATTTCCTTCCCTCCCATGTTTCGCAAAGCAAGAATCCTCATCTACTCACTGCAGAAAAAGGTTTGAGGTTTTTTATTTTTTTTTTCTAGGTTCGTTTCGTCATTTGTGATGTCGAAAATTGAGAAGTAAATCATAAATTGAGTTTGGTTTGTTGTTACAGGGAGGAAGATTGAAGGAAAAGAACTGGAACAATCAATATTGGAACCCCCAGTCTGCTCATCAATCTGGTAGTTCATGTCTTTGTGTGGCTGATTTTCTCTTTGCCTGTGTTTATTCCAGAAAATTGGTATAAAATTATGGTATGATTTTGTGTGCTTATTTTCGTTTTCTTTTTGCGAATTTTCAGTATTTGTAAGATGTTGCAGTGTATGAGAGAGTCAAGAAAATTATGTTATGATTTTGTATGCTCATTTCGTTTTTTCTTTTTTTGTGGATTTTCAGTATTTGCAAGATACTGATAATAGCTGTATTAGATTGTATGATGATGATGTTAGTGTTGTTAAATAACTCGCCTTCTAGATCTTGTTCTTTTGATGTAACCGACGGCAATAGACTAAACTAGCAAATATTAGAACACTTAGAAACACACAAGAATTATACTGGTTCGGCAGAACTTTTGCCTACGTCCAGTTGTGATTTCTCTAGGTAGAGAAATCACCGCTCCTTTGATTAATAATAGAGATTACAGAACTTTTGCAACCCTAGAACTAATCTCAAAACTCTTGGCTGTCTCTGGCTGTTTTTCCTCTCTTTAAAATAAGCCTTGCCACACCCTATTTATAGATATAGAGTTGGCTTACATGTCCCAAGGCTGATTGGATTCCTATTCCTAAGTAGATTAGGAAATTACACTTATCCAAATCCTAATAGACTTCTAGAAATCCAAACTTGAATTGAATAAGGAAAACTGAAATTCTTTCCTAATCCCTCTAGGACAAGAATTGGTATACCTCTAATTTTCCTAAAACAATCCTAAACCAACGAGGACATATTTGACGAGCCAAAATCCTAACAGAATGAAGTTTCAAGCTTAAAGATGGAATCCTTGTTTTTATTCAAACATCTTACAAAACTTTGTTCTGCTTTAATGTTTGTGTATATCTGATGTGAGCTTGATAGCATAATTATCTTCAACTACTCCTTTTAATTTGTTTTATCTTGTGATAGCATATATTTGCGGATCTTGATGATAGTATCAACAAATACTCTATTCTATCTTTTTGAAAGTTCAGGTTTTGGGTTGCAGGTTTCGTCACGCCTTGCTGAATTGGAAGCAACTTTGGATGCAGGGATCCGTCACAGAAATAAGGCCCTTACTTCTGTTGGGTTTCACCTAGCAAAATGGATGAACATGGTAAAATATTGGTCCTGCTTGCCTCTTGTTAATTGTTATTTCTTTGGCGTGAGCGACAAAAAATATTGATCTAATATATGACTAACAGTTTGTGTGAATTGGAGTGGTTTAGCTTTATCCTGATAGTGACAACTATGTCGTGTTTTCTACTCTTTACCAGGTGAGAAGGGAGAAAGCTGTATATGATACATTGAACATGCTTAACTTTGATGTTACAAAAAAATGTCTTGTTGGAGAGGGCTGGTGTCCTATATTTGCAAACACTAAGGTAACCTCTGTCACTATGTTCATCAATAGTTTTATTGCAGTATCACAAGTCCAATGTTTCTTTTGGGTTAGGTCTCTCATTAATGACGTGTCTGCATAATTTTATGAGCTGATTGTACATTTTTCTGTAAAAAATCGACAATGCGTCTATAAATGTCCAAGTCTTGCATAGAATTTGTATTTTTTGCCAACATTCGTCAATATCTATGAAACAAGGCCCGTGAAGAACCTAAGGTTGTCTTTGAAAAAATAATTTATGTAACGGTAATACAGATCCCTTATCCTAACGCAACATAAGGCCTTTTTTCATCTCTAGAAAATGCATGTACCACGGATAGATTAGCCTTTGCCCCCCTATAGTTCACTTTTGATGCAATCATTCATTTTAATAATGTATCTGTCTTACAGGTACATCAGTTCATTTGTAATACATAATGTTATAGTTATCATGAGTTGTCTTTGATAAATATTTACGATTTTTTTTTTTCCCAAAATACAACTTTTATGTAAAGTGGAATGAAATATGTGAGTTTTAGAATTTACGTAAATGTACAAGTTATTATATTCAATACTTAAAAGGGCATTACTGATATTTCCAAAAAGCCATAAAATAAGGCAAGATCCAAAAGATACCATTGGACTCGTGTAAAAAAAAAAAGCTAGTGAGTACCTATATCTAATTTTTAGCTTTGTCAAGGGTATGTTACTATGTTGTTACTTTAATACTTTTTGATTGTAGATGACTTTTGCGAACTTGTGTTATATTTATGTAGTAATTTTATGGTTGAACAGATTCAGGAGGCACTGCAACGTGCTACATTTGATAGCAATTCGCAAGTGGGAATAATATTTCACCTGATGGATGCAATAGAATCACCTCCTACATATTTCAGAACCAACCGCTTCACGAGTGCATTTCAGGAAATTGTTGATGCATATGGGTTAGTCAAAATATGATATTTAGACACTTTATCATTTCTTCTGTTAATGAAAGGAAATTGTCTTTAAATTGGTGCATCATTTTCCTCGTGAAATCATGGTCAATTAATGGTGAACAGTGGGCAAATGTTCTTAGAAATAATGAATATTTTGGATTAGAAATTACATTCTGTTTGTACACTTCTCACATATTGGTAGGTGTCTATGGTTGACACATTAGCAAGGAAAGCCAATGCATGCTGGCACAAGTGATTTACTACATAGATTTTTTGTCCTTCAATTAACAAGCAAATTAAATATCAGACATCAGGTGCTTTGCATGTCCAACCTACTTAAGGGTGGAGCTTGGAGATGTTAGGAGTTTGTCGAGGAATGGGATGGGAGGCTTGCATTTGCTGCAAGTTGTTACTTTACAACTAAATAATGAGGAATATTCTGTATTTCCTTTGCCCACACCTAAAATAGGGGAATTAACTTTTCAACTTCGTTTGAAAATTAGCTGAAATTCTAGAAAGTTTAGCGTTCTAACTACTGGGTTAAATCTTCATAATTGATAGGAGAAAAATGAAAAAGGAAAATTAAGAGCGAGAGCCAGTTGCAAAGTACATGATGAGGAAACAATTCTCCTTTTAAGTATTTCTGTTAGCATTTTTCATTACAAAGGGAAAATGATAAGTGAATCAACATAATAAGTTGTTTAGGTGACGAGCTATATGATCATTTGGCAGTGTTGCAAGATATCAAGAAGCCAATCCTGCTGTTTACACTTGTATTACTTTTCCATTTCTTTTCGCGGTGATGTTTGGGGACTGGGGTCATGGAATATGCTTGTTGCTGGGAGCATTAATTCTTATAGCTCGTGAAACTAAGCTCAGTGCTCAGGTACGCCCCTTTTTGTGAACTTCTAGCATTTAAATTTAAGAGGAGTGTACTATCTGAAGACGTTATACTTGATCACTAATGAATTATATTGCTTTAGTTAAGTCAAAACTTCTTCAAGCTGCTTGGCAACATGTACCATTTTCCAGTTCATAGGCATTGACTCGATCAGCTGCAATTAAAAGTATCTTTCGCTCTCCCCAGAAGTTGTCAAAAGATATGTTGCAACCCTAGCCATAACCAATATTGTCCACTAGTACCACTGACCCTGAACTTTTTTTCTGGTTGTCGTTGTTACTGTGTCTATGCTATTCAGCAAGATTTAATATAATAGAGATTGCGGTTTTTGTTATCCAAGGATTCATAATATAACCAATCCTGCAGCAAAGATTTAGCTAGCACCAACGTAATATCCTGAGCTAGATTCACAATCTCATGGTTTATTTATGGAGGAATGATGTGGTCTTACTGTGGTAATGATGACAGTATCAAATAATAATACTTATAACAGCAACAGTAGCAATAATTTCTTTCATATGGAGCTATAAGTAGGATAGTTCTCTTTCAGTTTTCGTTTTTAACAAATATTTGTTATGATTCTGGTGTTTAGAAAGAACATAACATGCATTTAACACGTGAAAGAGAATTGTATTTTTTCCACTTGTCTTATTAAGAAATTTTATATTACTTCCTACCAGAAACTTGGGAGCTTTATGGAGATGCTATTTGGTGGGCGATATGTACTTCTTTTGATGTCCCTATTTTCAATCTACTGTGGGTTGATTTACAATGAGTTCTTCTCTGTTCCTTTTCACATATTTGGTGGGTCTGCTTACAAATGTAGAGATACCGCTTGCAGGTAAGCTCTCTATTTTAAATCTTCAATCTCTAATTTTTCCTTCAGCTGGGTTGTTTGGAATGAGTTTGTGTTCAACAATATACCACTCTGACTTCTTGTTTTAGAGATTGAGGTTTCTGGAATCTATGTGCTTAAACCCCACTACTAGGCTGGTGTTACATGGCTTTTATCACACCTCTGCTTAATTAGAGATCAATCCTTGTAAGAGTTTTTAATGTTTTTTCGAATTATCTAATATTTATAAGATTCACAGAATCTTCCTATTAAAAGTTTAATAATTATTTATTAATCTAATAGTTATTTTTCATCATCATCATTCTGGATGGATTGGTGGTTTCATTGCCTCCTTTAGAGTTCATTCCTATGGCCTGCTGCCGCTAGGGTCGTCCCTCATTCAATCCATGGGGATTCTCCCCATCTTGATTGATGACTTTGGTGGTGTGTTACTTACGAGCATCTGTCTGGTCTGTGGTGCACGGAGCTTGAGAAGATACGATATCTATCCAAGCCATGTGTATCACTGTTGTTGGAACTTACTTTGATCTGCTAATCATAGCTGTCCTTCACTAGGCATTTATGGCACTATGTTGTCTGGCGGTTTCTCAATCACCTCTATTTTATAACTCTTAAAAATCTTCCATTGTTTATGCTGGCTGAACTTATGACTTTCCTCAGCAGAAAACTAACTACTTATCATAAATTTGTCTTCTTTTGAGCAGTGAGGCGTACACTATTGGTTTAATCAAGTACCGAGATCCATACCCATTTGGTGTGGATCCCAGTTGGCGTGGAAGTCGTTCAGAGCTGCCTTTCTTGAATTCTCTCAAAATGAAAATGTCGATTTTGTTGGGTGTGGCGCAAATGAACTTAGGAATTCTACTTAGTTACTTCAATGCACGGTTTTTCAGCAGCTCGATTGATATAAGGTGGGTCTCCTGTTTTTTCACTTTTCCCATTGTTGTATTACTTTCAAATGAAGTGCACAAGCGTTTGACTTGTTCTGCATCTTGTTGTTAGGTACCAGTTTGTGCCGCAGGTGATCTTTCTTAACAGCCTTTTTGGATATCTTTCACTTCTTATTGTCATCAAGTGGTGCACCGGCTCTCAGGCAGACCTCTATCATGTAATGATTTACATGTTCTTAAGTCCGACTGATGATCTTGGTGAAAATGAATTGTTCTGGGGCCAAAGACCACTTCAGGCACAAGTTCTAATCTTCTCTTTATTGTTACTTCGTATGTATAATGGCTTATGTTCTCAATTTATGTTATGGTTAACAGGGCTCTGTTTTTGCAGATCATTTTGTTGCTTTTGGCTCTAATCGCAGTTCCATGGATGCTCTTTCCAAAACCTTTTATTTTGAAGAAGCTTCATACGGAGGTACTGTGGTGTAACATGCTTAGGCTTCAGTTTTGGATTTTTAAGAAAACCAGCAAAGGAATAAACTTAAAGCCAAAATTTTCTTTGACGTTTCTGTTTTGTAAATGTTGTTTAAAATGTGATTACTAGTGATTAGTATCCTCAATTAGTGGACTTAGTTTATTTATATGTGGTATAGACTTGTCTTTGACTCACTTAAAGGTATTTGAGGGGAGATATAAGGAGCTTGAGAAGATATGATATCTATGTTTTCCTGATGTTATTTTCCAGAGGTTTCAAGGTCGTGCGTATGGGATGCTTGGCACCTCAGAGATGGACCTTGATGTAGAGCCTGATTCTGCGAGGCAACATCATGAGGAGTTTAATTTCAGTGAGGTATTTGTACACCAGATGATACACTCCATAGAGTTTGTTCTTGGTGCAGTTTCAAATACTGCATCATATCTACGACTATGGGCTCTGAGGTATACCTATATTGTTTACATATTACATATTTTGTAGTTTACCTGTATGTATATATATTTTTCTTTTGCTTATTCCGTGGTTTTCTTTCATCTATGTGGTAGCCCTTTTCTTTAATATCTGTTACTGCAATTACAGCTTGGCCCACTCAGAATTGTCAACCGTTTTCTATGAGAAAGTCCTTCTCCTTGCCTGGGGGTGAGTTCCAATCTCTATCTTGGCATGCATGTGCTTCTGACTGCTAGTTTTTCTTGCTGCATATGATGGTGCATGTATTCTTCAATCAGTAATAATGAACTTGTGAAAATAATTATAACAGGTACGACAACTTTGTTATCCGGTTAATTGGGTTAGCAGTTGTATGTTGATTCTGTTGGCATTTTGGTTGCAGATACTGATGATGACTACTAAAGGCCTTCAAAAAGGGCGAGGGCTGATTTCAGGCGTCCAAGAATCTACGACGATAATGATGGAATGCAGAGTTCACCGGGAAGATCACAGCGCGGAAACTCCAGAGGAGATGCCCCAATGACTGACCAGACTGATGATGATGGCTATGAGGTTTAGTTATACAGATCATGCTTCTGACTTGGATGACCTTTTATATGAACTTCTTGAGTAAATTTCTTCAAGCTTTTCTCATTTTACATGAATTTCATGTGCAGGATGATGATGACCAAGAAGCCGAGTTTGAGATGTATCGTGTTCAGGGAACACTCAGGGAGTGGGTTACTAGAGATGCAGTGCAAAGATTTATAGCCAAGAAGTTCAAAGAATTTTTGCTCACCTATGTGAATGACATTGAATATGTGCGCCTCATTAATGAGATGGTATTAGGTAAGGGCTTAGCTTTATTTAACTGGCTCTTATGCTCTGTTAACTGTACATTGGCCATTTGTACTTTTTATCTCAATGTGTTGTGCAAGCAGCAAGCTGCAAGCTACATAATTCCTCGGATCTTTAATTTGAATTTTGAATCAATTCACTATTGCATTTTGTAGCCAATAAGTGTAGTCTGGAGATTGATTACAAGCAATTCATCGGTACTCATCCCAATATTGCCATTTGGTTGGCTGATGCTCCCCAGTCTGTCTTGGAAGTCGTGAAAGATATTGCCAAGAATGTGGTGTTTAGTTTACACCCCAAGTACTAACGTATCCATCAAAAGATCTATGTTAGGATAACCAACTTACCTGTTTACAATCAGATTTGCAACATTCAGTGTTGTGGAGATTTTTTTTTTTCCCTATTTCCTACCTTTTTCCTTTGAGGTGTAAATGTCATCCTGCTCTTATGGTGTGCGGGCAGATCCATTTGAATACCATGATTCGTATTGGAGGCGTTGTGACCCTACACTCTGGGGTCTTTCCTCAATTGCAACAAGTAAAGTACGATTGCAATAAATGTGGGGCAATTTTGGGGCCATTCCTTCAGAACTCTTATTCAGAAGTTAAAGTTGGTTCTTGCCCTGAATGCCAATCGAAAGGACCGTTCAGTGTCAATATTGAGCAGGTGAGTTTTACAAATTTACATACATTTGCCTTCAGTTTTCTTTTTGGCTGGAAAAAATCTGAAGAGAAGAAAGGGAATTAACATTGAATGCTGTGGAGGCTGTTATGGGAACTCATAATTAATATTGCACCTCAATTATGCTAGAAAAGGTTGAAAATGGTTTTTATTTTTCTTCCAGTTTTTGTTACTCCAGTATTATGTTTTTGGCCGCCTTTATATTATTGTATGGTTTCTGAGAAAAGGGATCATATGAAAAAAACAATTTTTAGTTTTAGTTATCTGATAACCATTTCTCTCTCTTTCGTTTTAATCTGTATGGGGCACCAGTTCCTTTCAGTTTTTTTACGCTCTTATTTTCTTCTTCACTTTTTGGGATCCAGTCATTAGTTCAAGAACTCGAAGTCCAGAATTGCTTCAATGACTCCGGTTCCATGCTTTCTATTTAATAATCTTCAATCTGCAGAGTATCACCTCTTTAAATGGTACGAATCTCTCTCTCATACAAAGCTATCCCTAATTTATGTTTGATTGACTGAAACTTTGGTTAGGGTCTAGGTCTGTGTTCATGTTTGTGTTTGTGTTGGTAATTATTTATGTGTTTGACTTATGAAATTAAAAAGTCTTTGGAATTTTATCTCAACAGATGGAATCGCCTCTCACCTCTCTCTCTGACGCATAAGGGGTCCATAAGTAGCAGAGGAAACTATATTTAAGGTTAATGATTCTTCATTTCGTTATGTTTTGTATTTTAAGTTTCCAATCAGCATACATTAATTTAGTTGGAAGATGATTTTTTCCTATTGGGTTCTCTCAAAAGTTGTCCCCCAAATTAGACTTTTTAATATTGGCTCTACTATAACTAGGTGTTCTGTTTTCTGCTGATAATTTGGGCGTCCAAATGTGCCTAACAAAGCCATGGCTTTTTTTCTCTACGTTCATGTGTTAGTGAGAATCCACTATTTATATTTTTGTCTTTCTGGAAGACGCAGGTGACAAAGGAAAAAGAAAGCAAACAAATCACCCTTTGGGATACTTTTGGGTTGTTTCTGACTGGAATTGGGTGTTGGTTTACATTTGTTATTTGTTGATAGTTTCTTCTTTCTTTATGTTTATTTTTGTTAAGTGTCCAGGTCATTCTAGATCCAGATTCAGTTTCATATTGATGTAAATTGTCCAGTTCAGGCATCAACTTCTATTTTTTATGTTACGAATAAGATTATGCTTTGATTTTTTCTTCTTCTTTTTTTCTCAGGGGATTATTTTTTATACGAGACTTAAAAGCAAAATGAGGATCAGAGTTGGGGGGAGTTCAAAAGTAACATGAAAGCATAACAAAAGGGAAGCATCATGGTGAGTCAACATAAGCACCGATCATGACTTCTTCAAGCAGTTTTGTTTTTTGTTTCGAGTGACATAATTGCCTTTTTTCGCAGCTGATAATAACACATCCATAATGACACTCTGCGATAGACTTATTCTGAAACATAAGTCTATTGTATTGTTTTAGCATTCTTAATATCTGGCTTCATATTAAGCTTTTTAGTTGTTTTAGTCTCTCTTCTTCTTTTTTTTGGTGGGTAAATGCAGATCCGATTTGCTGCATGAGGCTTCCAAAGAAGATAGTAGCAAGAGAGCATAAAATTGCTGCAGGAGGAGGTTCATCTACAAGCAGTAGCTAAAAGGATTTCATGATCTTAATTTAATTGTCATGAAGTTTTTGTTTTTTCGTTTCCTTTTTTAATGGTTGCAATACTAGCTTCAATTACTATATTTTGGTGTAAAGAGTTTTGTTTTAAATAAGGACTTATTCAATTGCATCTGTTCCAAATTCGGTTCAGTGGTTAACTATGATAATTGTTATCAATAAATACAAAGAGGAATTTAAATTAGTTCTATAGTGAATTACCACGACAATTTTTATTTTTGAGTTAGTCGTTTTATTTTAAATGTTTTACAAGCCATCTTCATTTACTCTCTCTCTCTCTCTCTCTCTGTGCAATTGGTTTTAACTCTATTTCTGGTAAAGAATGCTAATTTTCTATGAACTTTTTTAATCTCTGCGTTTGCATTATATGACGGTTTTTTCGCCTGCCGACGTTAGAATTTCTACACAAAGACGGTATTAATTTACAGCCGTTTGAAATTTCATACTATGCCAGTTTTGTCAAGAAACCGTCGTCTTCAGTGAAATACCACAACGGTTTAGATTTTTGATTTAGGGTCGTTTTTATTTTATCTGTTTTACAAGCTATCTTCACTCACTAACACACACACTCTCTCTTTTATGATGAATTTTGTTTAAAAAAAGTCTCTAATGACACTCTGATAGTTTCTAGAAGTAATGATGTATTGACTTTGGCTTTGGGAACCCTCGAGCATGGTGGGAGAGTCAGAGGTTTAGGAGCCGAGGTTTCCCCTAGTCAATACTTCAATTTATCCAAACACCACATAATAAAGTTTGCCGATAAACTGAAGGAAAGTGTACTAGAGGCTGTTAGAGAAGAGAGTTTGAAGATGGAGGCTAGAACTAAGGAATTGCTACAAGCTGAGAAGGAATATATGTTGAAACAATTCAGCTAATTAATTCCCAATTTTGATCCTATCATGCTCAAACTTCCAATACTGCCTCAAGAGTAAAGTCCCAAAAATCTAATGTTTAACAAAGCAAGCTACTGTTTGGGCTTAATTCGGCACGCCTAGTCCAAAATCAAAAAGCCCATGTCAATTTTTGGCAACCACCGGAGTTCTCCTTATGTTTGGGCCAACGCTCTGCACGACAGCCCATTTTTACAAAAGCCCACAAAACAGAAGACAAAAGAATGGGCCTTGATTCCAGAAAAGCAGCCCAAACCAAACAAAAGAGACCCATGCCTTTTACAAAGTGGCAAAGGTGTAAAAAACACAAAGTAAGTCAATGAAATTGCCAATTAAATAGAAATCCATCACCAAACAGGTCGATGAAATTCTAAAAAGAATTTGATTGGGCCCAGCTTCTAAAAACTCACCATTGATCTCAATCCCAGAGTACAAAGTTAGCAGATTGCTAAAAAGTCTATTCACAAAGAAAACCCACGTGACTACCTGACTTTGAAAAGTGAAAATTTTCAACTAGAGTTGATGGGGAATTAATGAAGGCATGTCTTAAACAGGAAAATTTCTCCGGTCTTTACAGTAAAGGAAGAAGATCAAAGTCCCTTTCTATATACAAAGAAAAGTCTGCTTCAAAGCAGGTATCATTTCCAAGGGATAAGCAAACTACAATTTCTGAAGAGATAAGTAGGGAACAGGGAGTTGTTCATCAGGAAAAGCAAACTAACCATCACGACAGATTGAATTCTTATTGTCGTTTGAAATTTCATAGTATGTCAGTATTGTCATGAAACCGTCGTTGTGAATGAAATACCATAACGGTTTAGATGGTTGACTTAGATGACTGTTTTATTTTACTTGTTTTACAAGTTATCTTCACTCATTCACACACACACACTCTCTCTCTCTCTCTCTCTCTCTGTGCAATTGTTTTTATCTCCAATTCTATTAGATGACAATTTTTTTGCTTTGTGACGTTTGAAATTGTACACAATGATGGTGTTTATTTATTGTTGTCTTCATTCATTTACTACGTCGATTGTTTCAAGGAACTGTCCTTTGTATTTAAATACCACGATGGTTTGTATGGTTTAGTTACTATCATTTATTTTACTTTTGTACAAACCATCTTATATATCTGTTGAGGCCCAAAAAATCCATGGTTGGGCCTGAATAAATTATCAACCCAAAACGACACTCTACTAAGGAAAAGCGTAAAGCGGAGTACACGAGAACCCACCACATGCGAGTTGTAGTTCACGTGCCATGCTAAATAAATTAGCCATGCTAGGGGTTGAGATAAAATATACCGGCTCTACAAGCCCATGCCAAACTTAAACATCGCAGTCCTTCCCAAGGACGATAAAATTAAAACATGCCAAGCAACATGCCATGCCAAGCACAAAATCGTTATCTCACACCTAACCACGCTACAAGCCTAAGTGGGCCCAAGCCAC